ATGGCCAGCGAGCTCAGCGTCAGGGCAGTCCTCACAGCAACGACCGTTGAAAGAGCAGGAGGACCAGCCGTGACAGGAGTGGGGGACGAAGGACCTGTCCCTGTTGGAGCCGGAAATCCAGATGCCTGAGGCCTCGGGCTGGTGCCACTGCCACACCGACTGCCTGGAGGCGTGGCTCTCCCACACCTTTGGGTGGCTGGGCTGGGCGGTGGGCGCGCACCCCTGGTTCTTCCTGCTGATGCCCATGATGCCGACAGCTGAGCTGGGCACCGGCCTGATCTACCTGCCCAAGGACAGAGACGAAGACCTCGAGGAGCAGTACACCCCGACTGGGGGCCCCGCCAAGGCTGAGTGGCGCTTCGTGCAGGCTCACTTCACCACCAACGACACCTATAGCTTCTCTGCCACCAGGAGGAGCACCCAGGTCAGTTTCGCCTCCGTCCTGGCGGTCAGCAACGCCGCCGACTCGCTGCTGAAAGAAGACACCTTTACAGAAGTGAGCGGGCTGGACCACGTGGTGCAGTCTCTGTGTGGGGAAGAGGTTAAGGGACCCGAGATCGCCTACGCGCAGGTGTGCGCCAGGTACAGGGACCTCTGAGTGCCCCCAACCAGCTTCTGTACACCTGGCAGCAGAACAGAACGCTGGACCTGAGAAACATCACCTTCCCCGTCTTGGACTATGAAGGCCATCCCATCTACCCGAGCGGCTTCTTTGGAAGAAACGTCTTGGGTAAGAGGATGGGAAGGAACCGGTTACTCCTGCGGACCAAAGCGCTGCGGCTGCTGTGCTACCTGAAGACCAAGGGCCTGGAGGACAACCTGGTGGTTACAGAGTTTACAGGGAGACCCAGAGATGGGAGGGATGAGGAAGACATGCTCTGAGAACACTAACAGTGGCACTGCCCAGCTCCAAATGACTTCCTTAGAATTTCTGCAGGAAACCGTCCGGCGGGTGGTGAAGGGACCTCAGCCCAGCAGCTACTTTCCCCCCCACTGGCCCGAGTGAGAACATCACCTGTGCTTCCAGAAAATGAGCCTCAGTCGCTCTCAGGTGGCCCTGGAGGCCAAGCGAAGACGAAAGAGCAGGTGGGAGGTGGCGGTGGGGTAATCCCCACACTTTGGGAGGCTAAGGCGGGAGGATTGCTTGAGCCCAAGAGTTCAAGTTGTAACTATTAAGAAATTAACAAATATACTCCTGGGCCATGCACAGTGGATCACGTCTGTAACCCCAGCACTTTGGGAGGTCAAGGTAGGAGGATCACTTGAGGCCAGGAGTTTAAGACCAGCCTGGACAATATAGCAAGACCCTGTTTCTACAAAAAAATAGAAAAATTATCCAGGCATAATGATGTGCACCTGTAGTCCCAGCTACTCAAGAGGCTGAGGCAGGAGGATCGCTTGAGCCCAGGAGTTTGAGGTTGCAGTAAGTTATGACTGCACCATGGCACTTCAGCCCAGGCAACAGAGTGAGAAGAAAGAAAAGAAAAAAAAGAAAAAAAAAGAAAAGAAAGAAAGAAAAGAAAAGGAGAGAGAGAGAGAGAGACAGAGAGAGAAAGAAAGAAAGGGAGGGACGGAGGGAGGGAGGGAAATATACTCCTATATAATCCTTGGAGCACACAGGAAATCAAAATTAAAATTATTAATTATCTAAAAATAAACAAAAATGAGAAGGCATCATACCAAAATATAAGGAACATGAACAAAGTTATACTCGGTAGGAAATCGTACAACCCTTAAATGCCTTAATTATTTTTAAAAAGGTGAACAATAAGAAACATAGTATTCATCATAAAAATGTAGAACATATCAACGTGACCAGATTTCTTAAAATAAAAAAAAATAAAAAAAAATGTAGAACATGAAAATAAGACAAAAGAAATTAGAATAATTAAAAATGCATGCTCTGATTAATAAAATAGGAAAAAATTATAAGAAGTAAATAGATAACCAAAAGTAGGCTCAGCAAAAAGTCCAATAAAATGGGCAAATCTTTCCTAAGTTTGATGGACATAAAAAGGAGAAGGAAATTATATATGCAAGATTCAGAATGCTGAAAAGAATAAGAGAATATTATATGCAAATATTTTTTAAAATCTTCAGGAAAAGAATGATTTTCTAGAAATTTAATATTTATTACCAAAACTGACCACCCCAAAACATGAAAAACTTGAATAGACTATTACAATGAAGGAGATAAGAAAATGATTATCTACCCTTGAAAAAGGGTTCTAGGACCACTTGGATTCATCTTTAACGATGATATAAAACCAAAATTATCTGAACTATTTCAGGCTATAGACAAAGATGGAAAGCTCCTTGATTCATTTTATGAGTTGAACTCACTTTAACACCAAAACCTAACAAAGATTTTTTTTTTAATTAAAGATTTATCTAGAAAGAAAAACCTCTCTGATTTTGTGCTCATATTTCATTAGTGTGTATACTGTTTAATTAAATTATATGAATATAAAAGTTTGACCAGTCTAAAGAGGATTAGGAACAAACACAACTGACTCTTGATACGTACATTAAGCAATTATTGCCAAAAAAGCACCACACAACAAATCACCCCAAAACGCAGGGTTTCTACAACACAAAACATTGATTCTCATACAGGTCAACTGCAGTTTGGCTTGCCTAGGCCCAAATGGTGGCTGTGTCTGTCATCTCACTTGTCTCCTCTCATCCTTCTTACACCAGTGGCTTCCCAGGGCTTGCTCTTTGCATGGTAATCACAGAAGTGCAAAAGCCAAGCTAAATCGCACACGCAGATCTAAGGTCTCTCTCCATATCAAGTCTGCTAGCCTTCCTTTGGCCAAAGCCAGTCACACGGCCAAGCCGACTTCAATGATGCAGGAAGTGAATTCCACCCTCAGCGGGAAGAGGTACACCGAGTGACCATCCAAACCATCACAGCAAGCCCACAACTCAACTGGTCGAAGCTATAAACATAAAACTCAACACTCAACACTCAACTCTTGAAAGCCATGGTATGTAAGCAAAATGGAAACTAGCCTATCTGCGTATTGGGTTGGGGTGCTTCTTCCTCATTTATTCCTAATTATCAAAATGGATGTAAATTCTTCTTGGGTGTCATATCTTAAAAAGGAAGGTGGGTATTCATTGAGTGTAGCTGTGTAATCAATGGCCACATTGTACTATAAATGACTGTGTGTCAGTCTCCCCTTAAACTGTGAACTCCTTGAAGACAGATACAATATCCTTTCACCTGTGCGCTGAGCACCTAGCATTGTGCCTGGTATGTGATGCGCACTTAGCCAACGTTCCTGAGTGAGTGAGTGAGTGATGGGCGTCCCTGGCCTGTCCCTGGGCTGTGATTGGCATGAAGGCTCCTGACTCCACTTGGATGGCCCTACGTTTGGAAATAGCTTCTCCACTCCAGAAATGAGTTATTGGAGGCTTCCAGTTCTATACAGAATGGGCTCTCCCTCCGGGGCCTTCCCTCCTCTCTCTTAAGACACCTCTTGGACTTAAATCTGTTAAACTTCCCAGACCCCTCTTCTCTTCCAGCAAGACAAAGCGAGACTTGCTGACTTTTCCCCTGGTTTCATTTTCTTTTCTTATGAATCTGCTTTGCCCCTACCTCTGTCAACTCAATTCAGCATTTACTGAGCACCAACTACATGCCTGACTCTTCCCTGGGGCACGTGAAGATGGGACAGCCAACATCCCCAAGGAACTCACATCCTTTTATGAAAAATCATTCCTTCCAACTTCCAGACAAAATGCATCGGTTCCCATTTTCAACCTGATTTTCCAGCTAAACTTATTTGCATCTTAGGCTGCAAAGATTTCCTGAAACTGAATTCTTTTATTTATTTATTTATTTATTTATTTATTTATTTATTTTTTTTTTTTTGAGACAGAGTCTCGCTTTGTTGTCCAGGCTAGAGTGAGTGCCGTGGCGTCAGCCTAGCTCACAGCAACCTCAAACTCCTGGGCTCGAGCGATCCTTCTGCCTCAGCCTCCCGAGTAGCTGGGACTACAGGCATGCGCCACCATGCCCGGCTAATTTTTTTTTTTTTATATATATATCAGTTGGCCAATTAATTTCTTTCTATTTATAGTAGAGACGGGGTCTCACTCTTGCTCAGGCTGGTTTTGAACTCCTGACCTTGAGCAATCCGCCCGCCTTGGCCTCCCAAGAGCTAGGATTACAGGCGTGAGCCAACGCGCCCGGCCTGAAACTGAATTCTTGATGGTTGTGTAACTATAGTTCCTTTCTTCTAAAAGAGTCTTGCCTAATAGAAATAGACTTCATACCACAAATGTGATTTTTAAATTTTAGTAGCCATGATAAAAAAGTAAAAAGAAAAAGGTGAAATTAAATTTAATGACATATTTTATTCAACCCACTATATCTAAAATATTATCTTTTAGAAGTTATGTGCCCTATCTCCCTAACACTGGTTCTTGTTATAAGCCAATAAACTGGCATCTGTTCTACACTTTGGTCTCTAAAAGCCCTGTTCATATAGGTCTGTGATCCTGTGTCAAATCAACTCTGGTACAAAGGAAGATCTTATTTCTTCATCTGCAAAGATAAAGGAGAAACTTGAGTTTTTGTCTTGCTTTTCACAAAGTAAGAAATTTACTAAGGTCAATCAAAGACACCTTCATGCCTGGCTATTTCCTAGGGGGACATTTTTCTGGTTTCTGCACACTTTCCAAAACCAGAGAACAACCTTAGAAGAAAATGAAAAGCAAGACAAAAACTCAAGTTTCTTTTCCATGTCTCTATTTTTCTCTCCTCTGTTTTCAGAAGACACCAACAAAACACTTTAGAAATTTCTAGAATACGGTCCTAAAAATGGGTCCATCTGCCCCCTGGTGGCAGACATAAATGTATTCCGCAATCACTCGCTTAACAATCCTTCCTTTTCTGAACTCTCTCAGGAAGAGGAGTTTTTTGTGTTAATATTTTTGTGGAGACGGGGTCTCACTATGTTGCCCAGGCTAGTCTCGAGCTCCTGGCCTCAAGCGATCCTCCCACCTGAGCCTCAGCCTCAGCCTCTCAAGTAACTGGGACTACAGGTGTGAGCCTCCACACCTGGTTCTAGGAAAAGGAATTTTTAGCCCTTCCCCTCGGCACTGTGGAGCTCATTTACTCTCAGGATATGAGCATCAGTTCCCCGAAGACAGCCTTGAGCTTCTCAGCCTCACTCAGGAAGCCTGGCTCATCTGACACCTGTGACGAGGGCCACATGGGCCTCACGAGGATTAGGACAGTGAGAGGCTCAGTCGCCTTGAGAAAAGAAGGAAGGGATTGGTATCCTGCTGGAAAAGCTTCCTAAGGATGCCTCTCACATTGGCTGGACATATAACGTGGCCTCAGGGCAAGGAGTTGGGAAGAATGAGAACAGGACAGGCTGTTACGACAGTGTGATGACTCATCGTGCCCTTTGCCACCCCCAGAACATGCCATTATCTTTACTCCTGCACTCCTGCACTTTCCTTCCGCCATCTAGGTCTCCCTTCCACGCCTGCCTCAGCCGCAGGAGGCTGACCTGTGTGGGTTACACCCGGCCTCCCTTGCCCCCTGGTGTCCTGTGGGTACAGCCAGTGACAGCCCCCTGCAGAGATCTGAGGGCAGGAGGAGGATGGATCAGGGCAGTTACCATCTGGGCCTCTCCCTCCAGGTCATTTCTTCTTGTCCCTGCATGGAGGACAGCCCTACGTACCCAACCATCCTCTCCATGTACCCACAGTGGCTTCCTCCCTTGCCCCTTCAGGCCCAGGAAGATCATGTTCCAGATTGTCATCATCCCCGGTTTGGTTCCCTTGAACTCTGCCCACCCCTTTGCAAGTAGGCATTCTGTTGATCTCCCCTTGAATTATCCAGATGACATGAGCCATGTCCTTCCCACGGGGACCCTGAGCATGTGCCTCTCCCAACCTGAATGCTCCTCTCTGGCCATCTCTGCCTCGTGAACTACCACCGATACTTTGAGGAGGTGCACACACGTCACCTCCTCTGTGAGGAAGTGTGGTAAGTAAGACACAGTCTTGGCTGGAGTCCCACAGCCTGGGGACATGTCCGGGCTCTGCTCTGTGACCAGAAACAAGTTCCCTTCTCTGAAGACAGAGGTGAGGGCGCTCACCTGAAGGCTTCCCCGAGGATGTCGTGTTCCGTGAACGCTCATTTCCATCCTCATAACATTGGCAATGATTCATCTGTTTTCTTTGCTCCCGTGACATTTTGTGAACAGCTTGATTGAGGTGTCATTCCTATACCGTACAATTCACCCATTTAAAGTGCATGACTCAGTGGCTTTTAGAATATTCACAGAGTTGTGCATCCATCACCACATCCATTTAAGAACATTTTCATTACTCCAAAAAGAAACCCTGTTCCCCTTAGCTGTCGCCCCCACATTCCCCCTTCTGCACCCCATCTCCCAGCCCTAAGCAACCACCCACCTACTTTCTGTGTTTACAGATTTGCCTATGTGGACATTTCATATAAATGGCATCATGCAGGAGACAGTCTTCGTGAACAGCTTCTGTCACTTAGCATAATATTCTTAAGGTGCATGCATCTCGTACCGCGTGTTAGTACTGCGCTCCTCCGTGTCGCCAAGTATTTTCCATCATGTGGATAGGCCACATTTTGTTCCACTCACCAGTTGATGGACATATGGGTTGTTTCCGCTTTTTGGCTGTCACGAATAATGCCGCTCTGAACCTCCATGTGCCCCACGGCATTCTGTGAAGACCTTGGGTCCTGTCATTTGTTGACGTGTCTGCTCTTTGTCCCATTCCCCACAGACTCCGCAGACAGTAAGCTTCCGGCCGGCGGTGCGCACTCTGATGTCACTTCCGGTGTGCACCGGAACTAGTATGGCGCCTGCCACGAGGCGACATTCTCTCGCGTCTGCGGAACAATGAACCAATCATTCCGCCATTTTTGAAAGCGTCAAAAATGCCTACAGCCGTATCAGTACCTGGCCGTGGGAAGAGGCAGGGGGGGAAATTTCTCCCGCCTGACCCTTCCTTCCGCCTTCTGTGAGTCAGAACTTCAACAATCTCACAATCATCTTTTAAAAGCCATTGGCCTCACGATTCCTCATGTCCTAAAATGCAGCTTTCCTTACAAAAGCCTTTGATTTTTGCCTAGGCGGTCTGAATGTCTGGGAAATTTTATTAAACATTTGCTATGCGCCAGTAACAGCAAGACTGTATACACAAAGCCACTATCAATTTCAGATATGGGAGAAGGTATCTGCCAGCATTTGTACCCCCTGGAGAGGATTGGGGACCATACTAATTGCTCTCCAACACTGGATCTTGATATATCACTGTACGTTCAAGAAGTTGTAGACAGAAAATAAAAATCAATGTGGAGTCTGATGGGCATATGGATCAAAACCAAAAATCAACAACAAAACAAACAGTACACTAAGACAAGAAAGTATTTGTATCTGGTTAAATATTACACACGGAAAACAGACTTTGTAGGAGGTTCCGTGTATGGTGATGATGCAGGTATGGAATTATTTAGAATGTAATGTTGCAATGATTGAAAGAGAATTCCTAAATCTGAATTAGATCAATGTCATAGTTTTTTTTTTTTTAAATGATGTCTTAGTTAGATAAACCTTTGAGCCCGTGGGTCAGATAAAGAATGCAAATGCAAATGAAAAGGGGGGGGTATGGTGGCGTTTGGGAGGAGTTTCTGCAGCTGACAGATAATAAATTCCTTTCTGGATGGGTAAAAGGGATAGATTGAGCCTGTGCGCTTGAGAGTGCTTTAGCATGGTATCTTTTTCCATCTTTTTGCTTATGCCTCTGCAAGTATGAAACCATCCATGTTGACTCACCTCTCTTGCTCAGGAGCTGTGCTGTGTGAAGAAAGTATCGGACAATGGCATGATGAAATTGCTTGTCTGACAATTTCTGAATGTTGACTGGTGAGTCAGCTATGGAGGCAGCCATCAATTGCTCTTCCTGTTCCTTGCCACAGCTGAAAATGGTAGTGTTCACCTCAAGAGGCTCTGATAAGAAATCAAAAAATACAATAAAACTTAAAGGAGTGGCCGGGCGTGGTGGCTCATGCCTGTAATACTAGCACTCTGGGAGGCCGAGGTGGGAGGATTGCTCGAGGTCAGGAGTTCGAAACCAGCCTGAGCAGAGTGAGACCCGTCTCTACTATAAATAGAAAGAAATTAATGGCTATCTGATATAATATATAGAAAAATTAGCGGCACGGTGGCACATGCCTGTAGTCCAGCTACTCGGAGGCTGAGGCAGGAGGATTGCTTGAGCCAGGAGTTTGAGGTTGCTGTGAGCTAGGCTGATCGCCAAGCACTCACTTAGCCTGGGCAGCAAAGTGAGACTCTTGTCTCAAAAAAAAAAAAAAACTTAAAGGAGTAAGATGCTAAGTTTCAAAGAAGATTTTCCTATAAAATAAATTTTACAATAAAGGATCATTTAGCCAGAGTGTCCATGATCTTACAAAGTAATACAATATTTCCAGATGTATATATCTCAACCTCAAACAAACACAATGATTAAAAGAAGAAAGGCATCTTAGAACATTATGTAGATAGTAAAAAGAGATAGCATAGTAAAAAATAAATTAGTTTTAAGGCATCATATATAACCCAGAAGAGGGGTTTTAAAAAGATTTTTTTTTTTAAGAGGCAGAGTCTCACCATGTTGGCCAGGCTGAACTTGAGCTCCTGGGCTCAAGGGCTCCTCTCACCTAGGCCTTCCAAGTAGCTGGGACTATGGGCATGCACCACTGCACCTGGCCTCTAGATGAGTTTTATCAAACATAAATGCATCATGCAAACTAACTGAAGAGTGTGTTAAATATAGGTCATCATATGCACCCATAAAAAATCTGGGTTAACTTGAAAATGAAAAAAAAAGAGAATACGTCTAAATATGTAATAATGGAAACACGACAAATCTATTTCAGTTAACAATTCGCATACAGAGAGAATTTGCCGTTGTTTCCTTTAAAAAATATATACATATACATATATATTCATATAAATGATAAATTACTTTTTTAAATGAAAATTTTATTTTCCAGGAAATCTGTGTTGATCTGAAGAGACACGATTTGATGTAAGAGCAACATAGAAAGTGAAGAATGGAACAGCACCATGGCATTGATGAAAAGATCTGTCATCTGCTTTTCCTTGCTCTGCTGTTCTTTTTCAGGTTTCTCTTCCAGCTTCTACATCTGAGCCATCTCCTCCTGTTCAGTAATAAATGACATTTGTCCCATAAAATTTATGAGCTTTTCACAGTATAAAATAGCATCGGCGAAAGGCATTCTTCATCCATCCATTACAACGCTCCCCACCACGGATACAGCTCAGCGGAGCTCACCATCAATGGACCATTCATTTCAGGAAATCGCCCTTCAATTATTACAAGAAATGGTTTTTAAATGTAGACAATGGTTTTTAAGAAGAATATAACAAGTATATAACAATTCCATCATACAGTCTTACATTTAGACTCCCAGATAAATGATCTTCTACTAAACTTCATGAAATGAAAGAATAGTTCACAAAAGAGCTACCTCTTACATTCAGTAGGATATGAAGGGTGTATTTTCTATGAAATAAGAACAATCTGACATAAACTGTCGATCCATATAAAAAATTGTAATTAAAAAAATAGTTGTATAGGAAATGATAAAGTTCTATAAGAACTCTCCTTCCCTCCTACTTTAAGTATGAGTCTCAGCTTTGCTCAATATCTTCCAGTATTCCTCACTGTGGCACCTGCTTCTGAGCTCCTTGCACTGGCATAATTTTCCCTTCATCTACACATTTTTCTTTCCCCCCCTTCCATTGGCTAGGTCCCTGAACCTAGCCAATGTAAACTCATCATTCAAGTTTGCTCTTTTGAGTTATCACTTTTTCCAAAAAAAAGCTGCTCTTTCCTCCTTAACTAGATTAAATTATTCTAGCCATATGTCCACCATAGTCCTCTGAACTGCAATAAAGTTCATGATAGTCTTAATTAAGCATTGAATATCAGTAGTTATAGCACTTAGGAAGGTTTAAGCTATGACTTTCACTGCTGTGGGGGTAGGTCTTAGAAAAGTGTCTGACATTTGTAGATGTCCAATACATATGTGTTGAATTCAACTGAAAGGGAAAACATTATAAATGTTTGACCCAAGGAAAAAGAATAAAAAGGAATAAAAATAAGTTCCACCGCAAAGTTCTCCTCTACAACAATACGTGCCATAAGATAATGAAATAGTGGCTACAGAACTTCATGGAGAAAAAAGATTCATGGCTCCAACCTTTCAATTCGTACTAATCTTCATGTGTTAGAGACACTAGAAAGAATTAGACAGTCAAGGCCGGGCGCAGTGACTCACGCCTGTAATCCTAGCACTCTGGGAAGCCAAGGCGGGCAGATGGCTCCAAGTCAGGAGTTCGAAACCAGCCTGAGCAAGAGCAAGACCTTGTCTCTACTAAAAATAGAAAAAAAAATAATTGGCCAACTAAAAATATATAGAAAAATTAGCTGGGCATGATAGCACATGTCTGTAGTCCCAGCTACTCGGGAGGCTGAGGCAGAAGGATCACTTGAGCTCAGGAGTTTGAGGTTGCTGTGAGCTAGGCTGACGCCATGGCACTCACTCTAGCCTGGGCAACAAAGCAAGACTCTGTCTCAAAAAAAAAAACAAAAAAAAAAAAAAAAAAAAAAAGAATTAGACAGTCAAGTATCCAAGTATCTTTCCTCCAATATTATTTAAATTTATAGCTAGTGTTATATATATTAACAATATCAAATATATGTATATAAATACATATACACAAAATGATATAGATTTGAGATGTTTGAAAGCAAGAACTAAAAAGCTGGGAAGAGGCAGTGGAAAAGTAGTAGTGCTGACCTTTGAAATCAGCAAAAGGTCTAAAAATCACTGGATCAAAGCATGAACCGTGGTGAGAGAAGAGTGAACAGCTATACGCCCATGCCACAGGCGGGTGGGGCGGGGGATGGGGTGTGGGGGAACAGGAATAATGCACAGTTTAACCCAACCTTATCAGCCAGCGTTTTCCAGACTGGAGAAAGGAACTGGCTTGGAAGAGAGCACAGTCTGACCTGGGAAAAAACCTGGATGATAACTGGGATCTTGGGTCAGAGCCCGTCCCCACAGTTCTGTTTTCTGCTTGGTCCTCAGTACCACTTGCAATTCTGTGCACTATGTCCAATCTACAGGCACTGAGCAAACAGAAAGAGGGCTATGGGCAGTTCTCAGAAATTACTCATTCAGTATAACTACTCATCATGGGAGAAAAATAGGACTTACAACAAAAACGTTGTGGCCAAGAGAATTCTGACCTTGTATTAATAGTATTCCAATGTGAAAATAATTAAATCTTTCCCGTGATATAGGATTACTCCCTTACAATATAAGGGAATTTTGAGGAATATATACAACCACATGTAGGAATGTGCTGGTCTACTAAAGTTAAAAGGATTGGGAAAACTAGAGAAATAAGTTAAGAAGACTTAACTAATTTTTAAAATATCTGAGAATATGGTAGCAGAAATTAAAATCATGCTGGAAGCAATTTTAAAGACTGTTTATTGGCTGGGTGTGGTGGCTCACGCCTGTAATCCTAGCACTCTGGGAGGCCGAGGCAGGTGGATTGTTCAAGGTCGGGAGTTCGAAACCAGCCTGAGTGAGACTCCATCTCTACTAAAAATAGAAAGAAATTAATTGACCAACTAAAAAATATATATACAAAAAAATTAGCCGGGCATGTGGCGCTTGCCTGTAATTCCCCAGCTACTCGGGAGGCTGAAGCAGGAGGATCGCTTGAGCCCAGGAGTTGAGGTTGCTGTGAGTAGGCTGACGCCATGGCACTCACCTTAGCCTGGGCAACAAAGTGAGACTCTGTCTCAAAAAAAAACAGTGTTTATGACACTGCTGAGAATCAAATGAGTAAAGTGGAGAACAAAGATGATAAATACTCTAAGAACACATTTTAAAATATATAAAAAATATGAGAGAATATAAAAACCTAGAAGGCAAATCACAGAGATACAACCTAAATATATTAGGTATATTTGGGAAAGCAAAAGAACAATTGTACTGAACGCAATAATAATATATATTATAAAATAAAATTTTATAGACTTAATAAAGTGATTGATATTGTAGATTAGAAGTGTTGACCGTATTCTAAGATAATTTAGTACATAGAACATATCAGGCCATATATTAAAAACACATTCAAATTTTAAAACTGAGGGAAATTTTACAAGTATACCAACAGAATAAAAAAAAACGTATTACCTTCAAAGGAATTAAAATCATGTTTGTCTCATACTTCTCATTGTCAATAATAAATTCTAAATGTCCGTAAAGAAGATTTTTAAAACATACAACACAGGAACGCTTTATCAAACCAAATTAGTCATTTATGTTTAGAAGCAACAGAGTGATATTCTCATCTTTAAAGATCTGAGAAAAATTTCCATCCAATTATACTATTTTGAGAGTAAGGCTTAAAAATATACTTTCCTGAAAATAAAAATAATTAACTCAAAAGAAATACAATGCATAAGGACTGATAATTGACTGTTATTCTATTTCTTACCTGTAAATTCAGCTAAACATATACAACGAGGTCAACCAGTAATGGGGAAAGTGTCGTAATTATTAAGTCTATTTAACATATTTAAATACATCCCCCCCCAAAAAAAAAAGAAAGAGCCAAAAAATATCCAAGAAAACAGAAAGATTTTTGCTTTGTTTGTTTTAAATTCAAAGTTAGTGTTTCTACACTATATTGTAATGAAAGATTAAACAGTGTTCCCAGTGTCACTTGGGCCATGTTGAAGTAACTGGTACCAGACTTGGCCTCTCCACCATAAACACATAAAAAACGTGGAAAAATATGAAACAGCTGGAATACAGATGTTGACAACAGGCCGTGCAGCACTATGATCCCTGAGGAGGGAAAGCAAACAGGGACCCGAGGTTTCGTCCAAGGGCCCCTGTAGACTATAGCTCGACAGAGGGAAACCAAGGCCTGAGGAACTGAGGTCGAGAGATTGGTTTTAGGGGCGGAGCAGCTGTAATCTGAAATCATTTATCAGAAATGAGGAAGCTACACAGAGAAAGAGCTAAACAAATCTGCATAAGGTCCCTTTTGTGCATGTCAATAAATATAGCTGTGCGTGTATAGGGTGAATTATTAATAGTTCTAGGTTCAAACCCCCAAACACAGAGATTTTCAAGTTCCAACTACCAGGAATGAGAGACTTTTTTGTAGGAAAATATATATCCACTAAAAAAAAAAATCCTTATAACATAGAGATAAATATAAATATTTTTTTCAGACATATACAACATGGAGAAGAATTCATCTAAAAAAGCCTATACTGGAAAAGAAATTTGAAAAAATGTTCTTTAACTAAGGAAAATGCATGGCAAGTGGAAAGCCAATCTAACAAAGAATGAACTGAAGAGCACCTGCTGCTGACGAATATCCTCTATCTAGAAAACACCCAGGAGTACTCACCAACGAGCACCCTGGGACCCCAGTGAGAATAAACTCAGCAAGTCTCAGGTTACATAAATCAAGTACACAAATCTAGTGAACATCCTATACACCAAATAACAGGTCAAGCTGACAGTCAAATCAAAGACTCAATACTATTCACAAACCTCAAAGAAAATAAAATACCTAGGAATATACTTAACCAAGGACATGAAAGATCTTTACCAAAGGATAATGAGAAACACGAGGACAGAGAAATTGCCAGATGAACACAAACAAATGGAAAAACATCTCATATTTAATGATCGGTTAGAACCAATCATTTGTTAAAAGTCCATACCACCCAAAGTGTTATACAGATTCAACACAATCCCAGCAAAATACCAACCTCATTTTCACAATCTAGAAAAAATAATTCACACTTCTTTTTGAAGCAGAAAGAGCCCAAACAGCAAGCATAGTCTTAATCAAAAAATAACAATCAGGAGGCATCACATTACAGACTTCCAAACTATACTACAAGGCAAAAAGAATAGAAAGAAAGAGAGAAAGAAGAAAGAGAAGGAGGAGGGAGGGAAGGAAGAGGAAGGAGGAGGAAGAAGGAAGAAGAAGGAGGAAGGAAGGAAGAAGTAAGGAAGGAAGGAAGGAAGGTAAGAGGAAGTAAGAAGGACGATAAATGAAAATTACAAAATTTGTTTTTCTTATTTTTTAA